TTTAACATGTCTACTCTTTTGTAATAACACTTAGTTTAAAACACAAACATTGCATAACTGTACAAAAATATTTCTTTATCTATTTATACTATATTCATAGCTGTGAGTGATGCCTTGTACTACAATGTTATGATGGCTAGGAATTTTTCAGCTTCATTATATCTTATTGAACCACCATTGCATATATAGTTTGTCATTGACTAAAAGATCATTTTGTAGTGGATAACTGTATACAACTACCTGGCTCCTTGCTTCTTATAAGTGGTTGATTAGAAATATCCAATAATGATATTTTGTATATATACATTGCTAGATCATATCATGAACTATCAATACTCGCTTTGCTAATAGAAATTGAGTCACTACCATCTTTAAGACTAGCTTCATTAGAGAGCCAGTTCCAGAAACCCCAGAACTAATTCAGAAAGCTCATCTTTAAATTTATGTTTCTCTAGAACCATTCTTAATACTAAAATCTGTATCAGTCCTCTGGGACTACCATAAAAAATATAGACTTGGTGGCTTAAACAACACAAGTTAATTTACTTATAGTTGTGGAAGCTGGAAGTACAAGATTGGGGTGCTAGTATAGTTGAATTCTGGTGCAAGATCTCTTTCTGGCATTCTTTTCACTGTGTGCTCACATGACTTTTCCTCAATGCATGCATGTGGAGAGAGAGTTCTTTTCATCTTCTCATAAGGCCACCAGTCCTATCAGATTAGAACTCCATCCTTATGACCTCATGTAACCTTAATTACTTCCTAAAAGCTCTTCTCCAACTACAATCACATTTGAGGTTAGGATTTCAGCATATAAATTTTGGGGAGACACAGTTCAGTCCATAACAATAGATACTAGCATACCCAGTAAGACCATTTCTTTTTTCTTTTTCTTTTTTTTTAGAAATATATTTTATTGATTTTTTACAGAGAGGAAGAGAGAGGGATAGAGGGTTAGAAACATCGACGAGAGAGAATCATCAATCAGCTGCCTCCTGCACACCCCCAACTGGGGATGTGCCTACAACCAAGATACGTGTCCTTGAGTGGAATCAAACCTGGGACCTTTCAGTCTGCAGGCCGATGCTCTATCCACTGAGCCAAACCTGTTTCCCAGTAAGACCATTTCTAACTGCTATCCACAAATATTTCAAGTTGCTAAAACAGGAAAAAACACTGAGATATATACTTTATTAAGAAATTATCATTTCAGTGATAACAAATGTAGAGTATGTAGAAATCCATTATTCAGAGAGAAAACTATAACAGGAAATTTGGCAGTTTGACAATGGTATGGTGGTTCCAACTTTTCAGGCAAATGGAGCTATGCCAATATGTATGTCCCATACATACATTTTTTGAGGTTGTGGTTTGGGGGAGGAGGCAATTGGTAAAGGGGCCTTCTGAAAGGAAGGGAATCATGAATTAGATTCTTTTTCTAAGAAGTTCAGTTATTACAGTATATCTTATGCATTGAAATAAGACTTACTAATCAAGAAGCAACATCAGCCCTACTAACCACCCAATTCCTCAACCGGGGATACTCATTTTTATTGAAAAGGAATTTGAAATGTGACTCTAGCTTATAGGACAGCTTCATTTAAGAAAGGAGAGGACTGGTTCATTAGATATAAATGAGTGTAACATTGGAAAAAGAGGGTTTCTTCTTTTTTTTCCTTTTTCTTCTTACACCTTTATCAGGTGGCTTGCGCATTTAAAAACTCCTTAAAGTGAATAGAAATCTGCACAGATAAGTGAACCATATGTTCTAATGTAGACTAACTTATAATATAACATCAACAGCTGCAGAAAAATGGGTCAGTGGTCTTATCAGATTTTCCTATCTTTCCACCACTGGATAGCAACAATCAAATGAAATCTCTTGGATTGCTTAAAGCCATGAGGATTAGGGACTTACCATAGGAAAGGAGGGCTCAACAAGGGAAGACAGAAATTTTCTACTAAACCAGATGGAAGTTTATAGATAAAATATTTTTAATATCAAAAGAAATGTTTGTGACAACATGGATTAGACCTTGAGGGTATTATGCTAAGTAAAATAAGTCTGACAGAGAAAGACGAATACTGTCTGATCTCACTTATATGTAGAATCTAAAGAACAAAACAAAACTCATACATACAGAGAACAGAATGGTGGTTGTAGGACAAAGAGGTTGGTTTGGAGGGTTGAGGCAAAATGGGTCAAGGGGTCAAGAGGTAGAAAATACCAGTTATAAAATGTCATTGAGATGTAATGTTCTATATTGATATAATTGATATATAGTCAGGGTGACTACAGTCAATAATATTGTAGTGCACATTTGAAAGTTGCCATGACAATAACTCTTACAAGTTTTCATCACAAAATAAACTCTTTGTAACATTGTGTGTATAAATAGACTTATTGTGGTGACATTTCACAATGTATACAAATATCAAATCATTACAATGTATACATGAAATTAATAGAATGTTATATGTCAATTATACCTCATAAAAATGTTTTAAAATTTAACCTAAAAATGAAATATACCACAGGGTAATGAAAAATGTATCTTATAAATAATAGATAAAAAGAGAAAGAAATGTGAATATGGATAAAGAGAGGCCTGGTGCATGAAATCTGTGCACTCAGGGGTAGTCCCTTAGCCAGGCCTGCGCCCTCTCACAGTCCAGGAGCCATCAGTCAGACAACCTTAGTACTGTCACAGAGGTGGGGGAGGCTCCTGACACCACTGCTGTGCTCACCAACTGTGAGCCCAGCTTCTGCCTGAGTGGTGCTCCCCCTGTGGGAGCGCACTGACCACCAGGGGTCAGCTCCTGCGTTGAGCATCTGCCCCCTGGTGCTCAGAGCGCATCATAGCTATGGGCCATTCCACCATTCAGTCTACTTGCATATTAGCCTTTTATTATATATTCAATAGAATAATCTGTGTCTAAATTTATATTTATATAATAATCTCACCCCATACTGCTAACAAAGATTGTCTCAATGATTAATTTTTATCTATATAGTTAAAATTTTTCAATGAGAGAGTATTGATTTTTAATAAGAAATACATACCAATTATTTGGAATTTAAAAAAAAAAAGTCTGTCATTTTCACAAAGATTTTCAAACCCAGCAGTGTGGCTCAATGGTTGAGCATGGACCTATGAACCAGGAGGTCAGGGTTTGATTCCCAGTCCAGGTTGTGGGCTCAATTCCCAGGGGCAGCCAATCAATGATTCTTTCTCATCATTGATGATTCTATCTCTCTCTCTCCCTCTCCCTGAAAACTCAAGAGAGGGAGACTAGAATAGAAGGGCAAAAAGCCAGAGGTAGGGGCTGAAGCAAAGAAGTATCAGTGGAAATATAAAGAGGATACAGATACAAGAGAAGATAAGAATCTATACCTGGAGGTCATAAAATAAAAAAGTAAGCACACGTGATCTTCCAATTAAGGATTTTATTTATATTCAAAGTTTTACAAAATTATTTAAAATGCAAAGTCATAGTTATACATTTAGCTATTTTTTTATTGATAATAAGAGATTATATGAAATTAAGAGTTTCCCAGAAAGTGGAACGAGAGGATTTTTTTTATCTGTAGCCCTGGAACCTGGCAGAGACACTAAGCCTCTGAAACTTTATTTCTACCTCAGAGGTCAGCATTGGTCTAGGACAGTGGTCAGCAAACTGCGGCTCTTTGGCCCCTTGAGTGTGGCTCTTCCACAAAATACCACTTGCAGGCATGCACATACAGTGCAATTGAAACTTTGTGGCCCATGAGCAGAAGTTGATTTTCGGCTCTCAAAAGAAATTCCAATCATTGTACTGTTGATATTTGGCTCTGTTGACTAATGAGTGCAGACCGCTGGTCTAGGAAGGTCCTAGAAAACATGACATAGTATGTACACATATGGGCTGGTGAAGAATGAAATCTCTAACTTCCAAAAATAGGATTCATATTCTAAGTAAACTCTAGATAACTCAGTCAGCTTCAGGTACTTCTCTAATTTAGAAGTTTTACTATTGTTAAGAAGGACATTTATGAACCAGCAATTGGTTTAAAAGAGTTCCATAGAATCCCATAAATACTGGAACAAACAGTATTCATAGGTTCAGGTTAAAACTACCCTGTTTTTAAAGCCACATTGCACTTCCCTTACAGGTAGGGTTTTGCATGACAACAAAGTTGTCATTTGCTGGATCTCTTGGTCCTCCCTGGGTCTCAAATTTCTATTCTGACATTACCTTTTCCTGTGCCAGGTAAGGCTTTATTCATTACAAGTTAAAGATTTAAAGAAACCACCCAGATATTGTGAGAAGCAACCCAGAACCAAAACATCAATAATAAAAGTCAAGTCAACTTCCTATATATCAAAGCACCACATCTAAAAGGTCAAGGATATAAAAAGTGACCTTTTACATTTTAAAACACTACACAGTGTTTAGTCATTGTTTTGAAGAAATTATCAGAAAACATTGAAACCTTCAAACAATAGTTAAAATGGATATAAAATTTTAAAAAGTGTTTATTCAGAGTTCAGTGAACACTTAAAAGTCTATGTTACTATATATCTTACTTTTCATAATTGTAAAAATAAGCTAAAATGTAGGAGTACATGTGATCTAATCTATATTCCTAGCCCTACTAAATATGTAGCTATATGAAATAAAAATCTATGCTCAAGTGAAATGTAAAAGGATTATTATTCTTACTATTTTTTAAAGTAGAAAGTATATATGCCTGGAACCGAATAATTTGGTACCAGTCTGTTGCAGTATACTTCATTAGGAAGTATAGTGTCTCTCTCTTGGCATGAAATCTTCTTGTAAGTAATGTAATGAGTTAAAAGACTAACCTTGGTTGAAAAGGAAAGCTTGGTGAAAACAGATATAAAAACTAATTTAATAAAACTTCAGCAGCCCTAGCCTGTTTGGTTCAGTGGATAGAGCACCATCCTACAGACAGAAGGATCCTGGGTTCGATCCTAGTCAAGGAATCGAATATGCCCAAGTTTTGAGCCTGATCTCTAGTAGGGGGAGGGCAAGAGGCAGCTGATCAATTATTCTCTCTCATCATTGATGCTTCTATCTATCTCTCCCTCTTCCTTCCTTTCTGAAATCAATAAAAATATATATGTATTTTTTAAACTTCAGCATTTTTCAAAGAGAAATATGAACCCCCAAATACTCACTCACAACTTGTTATTAATTATAATTGGAAACAAATTCCCAGTTACTTCTGGGTTATGGATATCTGCCCAATGGCAGTCTTGAATTGATAGACCAGATAAAAGGGGGAAGGGGTCAATTTCTGACCATCACTGGAGGATAAAACATATAGTTTCATATTCTAGAACAATGAGAGAAGATTACATTAAGGGGCAAAACTAATTTTACCAAAGCCATTAAAAGATAATTCAAGGGGACCTCAAACCAAATAACCATGACCTGTAATCCATTCTCATATTTAAGACACAAAGGTCTCCATTTCTCTAAGGGAACTGCTCTTTCGGCATGACACACTTTCTCTCTTGCCTTGGAGCCAAGTAATTGGAACCCTAAACACACTGCGGAGCTTCTGTTGGAACCGGTTTCCAACAAAACAATACAAAAAGGGATTAACGCAGCTGTTGGTGAATCCCAGGAGGATGGCAAAAGGAAGTGCCAGGTCAATGACAGCTATAACTTCACAGCTACTAATGACGCCCATCCAGGCCAGAGCATCCAGGAAGGTCAGAACATGGAAGGGAAGCCAGCAAATAATGAACGCCAGGACAACAGCAGCTGCCATTTTCAGGACTTGGTCACGCGTTATTCTGTTCTTCCCATAGCTATTGGTCTTCAGTAAGTGTTTTCTGATTCCAAAATAGCATGTTGCTATGAATATTAAAGGGATAATAAAACCAAGGATATTTTTCATTAAGGCAATCCCAGCAGACCATTGGGCATATTTCTCAGTTGGGAAAGCCATAACACAAGCATTCACTCCTAAATACTCAATGGTTCTGACATCGCGAAAATAAAATGTTGGCAATGAGGACAGACAGGCCATACACCAAACAAGGGGAACTATATAAGATGCTTGCCAGGGATTTCTTCTTTGAGACAGAAAGGGATAGATGACAGATTGGTACCTATCAACACTCATGCAGGTGATAAAAAAAATGCTTGCAAACATGTTCAGGGTCAGAAAAGAACCAAACACTTTGCACATCACAGGTCCAAAGAGCCAGTCATATCTGTAAGAATAATAGGATGCCCAGAGAGGAAGAGTGGCCAAAAGCAGTAGGTCAGCCACAGCCAGGTTAAAGATGTAAATACTGGAAACCTTTTTAGGGCCCTTTTGACAACAGAACAGTGTAACCACAATAGTATTGACAAGAAATCCAATCACAAAAATAATGTAGTAGAGAACAGGAATTGCATCTAAATGCTTATCTGATGGCTTATGTGAGCAGTTAAAGGTAGAGTCATTGCCAGAGATGTTCCCAAGTCCGAAGTCCAGACTGCTGGTGACGTTTTTGTTGATGGTGGCAGGGGTGAAGTTGCCTTTCATGTTGAAATGTCAGCAGCTCTTAATTCTTACCACCTTCTATGAAAATAGAAAAAGAACTCTCAGAACATCTACAGAATTTAGAACATCGAGTCATTAACATTTTGAAAGTTTGTTAAAAGCAAAAAAAAAAAAAAAAAAAAAAAAAGGAGGAAGATGAGTGATTATAGAAAATATTAGGAAACAGAACCATGACATAAAATAAGATTAGATTTTACTTCTTGGAAAAAAAAATTTTTTTACTAGTATCAACAAGTTAAGATATTGCAGCATCAGGGACTGAAAATTCTGAACAAAACTACATTTTTCCCATTCTTTCATATTTTCAAGAGGTTTAATGAAAATTAATATTTCAAAAGGTTAGCCAGGATAGGAAATGCATGAAACAAACAAGAAGGAATCAAGAATAAGAAAAGTTAATAATTCAAAAACACTTGAGCACATATCTCAGTCTATCTATACTTTCTAGAAAACACACTGCTGTCTGCTATTTCATAGAAAAATGCCTTATTCAAGTAACTAATTATATACAAATCATCAGAGCTATGGAAAATATAAGAAACATAAACTATGGAAAAAATAAGTAAGTGCACAAAATATTGAAAGAGAATATGCAAAAAGAATATATTGGGATGGGGGATTATGGTTGGTTTTTACTAATTAAAAAATAATTTATTTAGTTCTACTTTTCCATTGTTTTCACAATAATAATGTAAGTAAAAGGAAGTTATAGAACACATGCATATTTCTAAAAGTCCCCTATTTACATTTTAATAGAGACTATGAGTTTTAGATCTATTTAAATTTAATCTGCTTTTTTAAATAGTCAAATCCAGTTTGGGGTCAAGAATGAAGCAAGAGTTGAACATCAAAGATTAATCATATATAATTATATCATTTTTCTTTTGGTATCTTTTCAAGTTTAACACAACTAAGTAGTAACATTGCTATATGGCTCTCAAATGTTATAATCAATGTTTCAGTTTTTGTGATACTATTGTGCCTTTTTTTAGAAGCAACATTATTCTAAAATTAAAGAAAATTAGCTGAAGGTAAATAAAGTAAAGACTATTACTTTACATAGCTTGAAAATACATAAAAATAAAGCACTCTATGAAAAATGTAATCACGAAAGAATCTCATAATAAACAGCAAAGTTCTCATTTTTACATACAGATCATTCTCTCATAATCTTGACCTAATAAATTAATATAAAAGAATATTTTGAAACCCACTTAAAGACTTACTGGTTGTTGAAGTTTTAAACTTATGTATCATAAACCAGATTGCCTAGTTCCTCAGTGCACTCCTGTAAGAGAAACAGCAGTTAAATAATTTAGGAGTTTTGCAAATACAGTGTTAAAATACAGAGAAAAATTAAAGTTCATCCATTAAAAAAAAACATTTTCATTTAATGTATGTTCTATTTTTCAAATGCTGTATATATAAATTGTGCAGACTTACCTTAAAACTTCAGGCTGAAGAATGCTTTTAATTCTGTCTTACTCGTTCTCTTAGACTCAGGGACGTAATAGCACCAGATCTCTGGTTTCCTTCTTATATGTTCGGTCTGTCCACTGGGAGCCTTCAACCTACATAATTCTAGGGCTGACTTATGTACACTTGCCAGCTTTCCAGGGCTTTTTTTTTTTTTTTTTGGCTGCAAAACATTAATCTGAAATTCTCACTGTCTCCAATCATAACAGCTCGTTCAAATAAATCTCAAACAAAAAAAAAATGAAGTTTCCACAAATGTGTTAGAGAATTTTGAAGTCAGTAACTTACTTGAAAAGAAGAATATAATTATTTATAGAATTTTCTCTTCTTCCCTGAATCTGGCATTCTAAAATGCATTAAGGAGTGGAGACTAGGGAATTTATTCTAGTGTCAGTGTCATTGTCCCCCTATGTGCTTTGTAACCTTCATTACTTTTTAAAAATCTTTACCCCTATTTATTAAAGAGCAGTAGCAATGTGAGTTGAAGTCTAGAATTTCTAAAATTTCTCTCTTGCTTTAAGCAATTTCTGTTGGTTTGTTGCTGGAGCAGTGGTGATAGGAGGGATATAGTTTTCATGTTTTGGAAAAAAGGTATTAACGTTTGGTGTTCCCTTTCATAGGTCTTTGTCATATTTGCAGTTTAAATACAAAGCACACAAGGTGAAGAAGGAGTAAGGCAGCAACTGCAGCCTAGATCAAATTGTTTTCTCTTCTTGTGGGGGCTGCAGTGCTCAACCTTCCATGATCAGCCCAATAAAAGTAATAGTAACAAAAGGAAGAAAGAAAGAGAAGGTCATGGTAGTGATAATGCTAGTTGGCAATAAACTCTATGTGTGATACACTGCGCTCGATGCTTTATACTTGGTATTAACAGAGAGCAATGTAGCATACAGGTGTGTAAATGACCTTGGATCCAGCTGCCTGGCTTCACAAGCTCAGCTAGACCATTTACTACTTCTGTGACTTTGGCTAAGTTACTTTCCTTCTTTTGTGTTTCAGCTTTCTCATATGGGAAATGGGGATGATGTTAATTACCTACATCATGGAGTTAGAAAATTAAATTTGCTAATGTATTTAAAATGCTTAAACCCGTGCCTACCACACGGTAGGTGCCATTATAAGCTATTAATATTAACTCTATTTTACAAATCAGGAAACTAAGACATAGAGTTTAACTTTTATGTAGTCACATAACTATTAAATGAGGACATTAGAATTTAAACCGAGACCATCTAATGCCAGAGGCCATGTTCTTAACCTCCATATTACAGGAGAGGGTACTAGCTGGTCCTTTAAAATCACCTACCATACTATGCTGGAAAAAAGAAAACCTGCAACATTTAAAGATAGTTAAAAGCACTAAAGTAGGGGGAAAGAATTTGAAGATTGTTATGTGGGAGATATTTTTCTTTTTTAAATATATTTTTATTTATTTCAGAGAGGAAGGGAGAGAGAAACATCAATGAGAGAGAATCATTGATCAGCTGCCTCCTGCATGCCCCCTACTGGGGATCAAGCCTGCAACCCAGGCATGTGCCCTTGACCAAAATTGAATCCGGGACCACTGAGTCCACAGGTCAACACTCTATCCACTGAGCCAAACCGGCTAGGGAAGGGAGACATTTTTCTTAACTTTATTCACAAAATGAAGACCATACAGAGACGAAATGACGGGCTAGTTTATTACAGTGAGTACAGAAAACCAGAGAAGCCATGACACTTAAATAAGTATAAGGATTCCAGTTATTTGTATGAATCAGATCTGTCTGGTAGCAGTCACAGTGAGCCTGTGTTTGCTTTTCGGGAGGCTCTGAGGAATTATCTGGGGACTTAAGCAGAAGGAGAGCAATGAAGGAGAGAGGGCAGGTGACAGAAGACAAAATTACAAATGACATGAGACAAAACAAATGCTTTTGATATTTCTGTTTCCCCTTTAACATTGAAGTCAATCCTGCTGTACACAGGCAGATGGCACCAGTAAGATGTGGTCACCACTGCCTGGAAAATATAGTAGATTCAAAGGTTAGCAGCACAGCATTTCCATGTGGTGTGTTTTGGGTGTTTGTTTGTTTTGTTTTGTTTTGTTTTGTAGACTGAGTTTAAATATTGAAAAAAAATGCTCCTTATATGCATGTACACCATTTTATTAAATCTCAAACTATTTTTTTTTCTCGTATGCTCTGGACAGATTCAAGTGGAGGCTCTGTCCAATTGGTGAGAAACAGACTTGGGAAACAAATGAACAGACACATATGATTACTGGCAGAGAAGTTGAAATGGGAAATGCTTTCACTCTTTGTTTAAGCCTATTCTCTCCCTCCTTTTCAAATGTTTGTTTTTGCCACATACAAGGGAATTTTCCAAGCCAGAACCTCCTGAGTGGTCAGCATGGGTCAGATTCCCACCTTGCTCTATTTCTAGCCCCCTCTCATGCCCCTTGCAAAGAAACAGTCAGGAGGTGAGCTATAAACCTGTGAGAGAAAAACTGCAGGCTTGCCTCTGGGAGACCTAGCCTTGAACACCCCCGAGGAGCAGGGGGCCTTGTCTAGGGCTTTTGTCCTTCATTACAGTAAGTTGTGACGTAAATGAAGTTTAAAGAGGCACACATTTCCCAGAAGATTAAAAGGGGCATTTACTCTGTTTCTTTATAATTTTAGGAGTAAAAAACTTCACAAGTCAAAGAAAAATTTTGTAACTGCAGGGAATTAAAGAAAAAAAGTAAAAAAGGGGAAAATAACAATAATATTGACACCACTTGAAGCAAGAAATTCAGCATGTTATTGATTCAGCAAAGAACTCTAAATTAATCCAACAATGTAAATACACTTGAGAGTCAAATAAATGTCAGTCATGAGAAACAGTACAACACAAAAAAATTCACTCTCCTGGGGGCAGGGGATAATTTTTCTGCTGGAAGATTGACTTTAAAAAGCCTCGGGTCATTTGAATAAATTATGCAGCTCTTCAGGGCAAGTATAACTTGGCTAGCAGAATTAAACAATGGTAAATCACACTAAATTAAAGTTTTTTGGTGAATACCTATTATGTATTGTGAGATTACTTAAGAGTATAGTTTAAAAGACCAGGGTTTAAAAAAAAAAAAAGACATTCTTAAGTGGAATTTCACCTCTAGGATACACAGTTGAGAAAAAGACCTTATTTGTTTCTCTTACTCCCACTCACAAATACAAATGAGACTTTAAGGGAGAAAAGGAATTATTTAAATGCAAAAGTCTGAATATACATGCCTGGGGTTATAAAGGTCAGGTGCAGATCATGGAAGGCTTAAATATATGTGGGCCTTCCTTTTAGTTTAAGTTTCTCTCTCTCTCTCTCTCTCTCTCTCTCTCTCTCTCTCTCTCTCTCTCTCTCTCTCTCTCTCTCCTGTTTGTTTGTTTGTTTGTTTGTTTTTAGTTAATCCTCATCCATGGATTTTTTTCCCACTGATTTTTAAAGAGAGTGGAAGGGAGGGGACAGACAGAAAGAGAGAAACATCAATGTGGACTGTTTGCCACCCGCATGTACCCCAATGGGGACCAGGATCAAAACTGCAACCCAGGCCAAAACCGATTTGGCTCAGTGGATAGAGCGTTGGCCTGCAGACTGAAGGGTCTCGGGTTTGATTTCGGTCAAGGGCATGTACCTTGGTTGTGGGCACGTCCCCAGTGGGGGATGTGCAAGAGGCAGCTGATCGATGATTCTGTAAAAAATCAATTATATATATATATATATATATATATATATATATATATATATATATATATATATATATAAACTGCAACCCAGGTAAGTACCCTTGACCCAAATCAAACCCGGGACCCTTCAGTCAGCCAGCCAACACGCTATCCACTGAACCAAACCAACTAGGGCTAGTTTAAATTTTTCACATTTTACTTTTCCCCCACCCCAGCCACCTCTCTAAGTCCCTACCCAAACCGATAGAATTTCCACTTCTCTCAACTTGAACACCCCTCACACACACACACACACGT